CATTATGAATGAAACAGATTAACGCGCTGCAATGGTCGATTGGTCACAGGGCTCTATAGAGATCGATCTGCGAGCGGTTCGTTCATATTACTCATAAATACATAGGCCTACTGTATATCCGTACATTTCGTCAACGATACTGGATAACCATTATGTTCGCACGGAACGTGTCAACTCCATACGAGCTGTCTACGTAGCACTTCTCTTAGTTGTTTAGTGAGACAATGACTCACAGACATCAGTATGAGTAGCACAAAACACTCGGTATGTTTGGTGTTTGGCATTTAAAAGCATGAAGTGAACTAAATTCATTCCCCGCATTTAATTCCTGCCACCTTGTCAAACTGGGCCTTTTTTTGTGGATGTCCAATGTTGGAATCAATGTATAGTGGTTTCTAGCAAGAAGAGGAATAAAATTCCATGGACAACATGTTCGACATGGTTTATTGTCAGAAGACCATCGCATGATGCCTCTTATTGCACCATGCATAGTACTTTCTGTCTACTACATGAGAATATATATTTTTTTTTACTCTGTGAAACTGACAAGTCCTGTTCCTTTTCATTAACTACATGGATGTGAAATCCGTTACGTGACAATAAGTGAAGACAATGGGAAGAAATGCTTATTGTGATCGCAGCCTTGGGTTTTTGTTGTTTTGTGGACTTCCGGTACGTCCTCAGTCACAGATGAACTTAAGGTCTTCCTGGAGAATACCCTAAGAACCCGGACGCAGGGGGTTTGAACAAAGGTATGTTTCTTTTATACTTACTTTTACCTTATATGTGATCCATCAATACATGTAGAAATAATAAAACACCAAGCACTTGTGGTTTGATGAACAAGCACTTTTTCTTTAAAAAAAAAAAAAACATAAATTGAATTACAAAGAAGTGCTGTAGACAATATCCAGATATACAACAGCACCGTGTCTTTCACTGTTCTCAAAACATCCAGTTTGATATTAATATACATTTTTAAAATCTATTCATAGCAAAATGGGACCCTGTAACAGCAGAGTGTTTGTGTGAGATCTACACAGAACCATTTTTTATAAGTTTATTACAGGTCTAAAATTACTTCAGTCAGTAGTTATAAAAAAAAAACTACACCACCACAACTACAGTAGCATACTAATATAACAACATAAAAAATAATCAAGAAATTGTTACATATTAATACTGGCCATTTATATTTTCCAACCAAGCAGTTAATACAATGCTGACATTGACATACAATTCAAATACCAACATAGAATTATAAAAAAAACAGTTGTGTAATATGCCAGATTTTTCTTTTTGTTTGATTTTATAGGGAGACTTACAGAATAGTTACATTTATTTATTAGTTTATTTATCTAGTTTTATTTGTTTGTATTGAAAAGGGCTTGTAAATAATTTTATAAAGTCACATTTCCCAATTTAGACCAGTATATCACAGATATGAAAACACTGTTTGGTTTCCTGAGGTAAGTCTTTTGAATGACTCTGTGTCTAGACAATAACTGAACTTCTCTAAAATACTGCTAATGAACTTGGCAATTGAACAAGGAGATGTAAAGTTGACGTGATGAGTTTTTGACTGAAAGAAATGTTACTTTGATCCAAGGGCAGGGTACATTCTTGTGTTATATTTATTGTTTTGGATACTACTGTTTGCTTTGTGTTTAATGCTCTGTTTTTAACTGCTTTGTTTCCTCAAAATATGTGGTGCTGATGGATAATATGGAGATTATTTTTCTGGGAAATTTAATACATATTGGGTGTTGTTTTCTGAATATGTAAATATGATGCAAATACAGTGAAAGGTGTGCTGGTTTTCAGATACTCATCAGTTACTAAAAGCACTGATAGATACAGTGCATATTATATGGATTCGGTAATCAGGATGTGAGATAGAAGTATACTTTAGGGCATAAAGGTGAGAGACATTACTTGCACTTATACAAAAACTATGAAAACAAGTATATTATATTTTTAAGGAATGAGATCTCATGTATAATATGATTAGGTAAAAGGTTAAACAGTATTAAGTATATCGTACTGTATGGTAGGAGGGCTCTGCAGTTGCCTGGTATTTATAACAGTGATTACATTTTCTCAATGGTCCTGTTTTCTGAATTTGTTTTCGTAGTGTAAGTGGTACATTAAATGATGACATAGTACATTACATTGTACTTTGAAATCAAGAATTATTGATATCATGCCACGTGAATGTGATCCTGTATAAAACAAGATAAAATCAATTTAGAATTTATAAGATAAAATCGGTATAATCTAAGAGCATACAGCATATTACAATGCTGGACAAATGGTTCACTTACAGATAGGGGACATAGCACACATCAAAAAGCAGTCTCAGTTTCTTAGAATATAATTGGGTAATAAAGTTAAACACACTGAATTGTGCACAGTGCTCAGCTGTCATGGAGAGAGTCGGGGATTCAGTCTTCATTCAAACAAAGCAAGACTCGTGATGGTCAGAATGATGTGGCAGATATCTCATTCCCTGAGTAGGAAATCTGTCAAGGCATCCTGTAACTGAATTTTCTTAGCAGTTAATTCAATTATAGAATACATTATTTTGTTTGATATAAAGCATCTTGTTAAATAACTGTCTTGAGGTGTTTTAGTTGTTATTCAGTAATTTTTGCCAGACTTTAAAAATGTTTTCCCAAAATTTGATGGATTTTATGAAATCTACTAATACACTTAATCATACACTTAAAAATATTCCTATTGTAGGAATAATTAATATGCTGTCTCACAGGAATTATTTTACAATTTATTTGCACAGTCAAATATTCCTCATGTGTACCTTCAGTAATGCTTAACATTAAAGTTGTTATAATTAGTCTATTGTGGTATTATGGCATATATATCTGTGAACAGAAAAGTCAAAAGCAGCATCTATAGCTATATTGTAACTAACCTTGTCTAACTGTCATTTTTCATGGATGCTAAGTTGCCAGGTAATATCGCTGAGGAGGAAAAGTTAATATGTTCTTATGCTTGCGGGGTACATTATTTATTCATTCTGAGTGCATTATTTACAGGTGAATTTCTGTGTTTGGTATGTGACTGTGTGCGTGAACTACATGTGCATGTGTGTTTTCCCATTAAGTAGCTGGTGATCTTATGATCCTGTACCATAAATTGATAACTGATAATTTAAATAATCAGTAAAAGTACAATTTGTCAGTTGCCTGATATTGTAGTTGCTCTACTGTCATAAAAGAGTTTCACTAAAATCCACAGGATTACAGATGTCAAAGATTAAATATTTGCGCGTGTTTTACCCAACATAGAAGTGACAATCAACAGTTTACAAACTGACAGGGAAGGGGCTAGAAATGCTAATTAGGGAAATGGTCACTTTTCTTAGGACCGGAAGCAAATGGAGTAGATGTGAAACCGCTGGCTGTGTTATAATGAATGACTAATGTTGTCCAGTCCTGGACTCAATCGTGCTTGTGTGCAAAGGTCATAGAGCCCTCGTGAGTCAAACCCCCACAGACCCAGAAATCCTATTTGCCCTTCATCTGAATCACAAACGAACACAGCCTCAGTATGATTTTCATATATTCAGTGGCTGTAAATGTAAATGCACAGTAAAGATATCTCAGGGCTGTGATTAAAATTCAAACCAATTCTAATATTTCTGTAATAATTCTCAGCTTTCATTTATAATATTTGGTGATTAATTACTTGCAAAGCATTGGATGATGAGATAGATGAGTCAATCTCAGAGTGTCATATTTAAAAGAGTTGGTATAATTTGTGCAGGCTGCCTTCCAAATATCTGTAACGATTATCACATTTATATACAATAGGGAGTTAACATCAAAAATGCTTCTTAATTTATGAACCAAATTATGCATTTTTTTATAACCTGCCACATAATTTCTGCTTAGTCCTATTTTGCCAGTTGATAGGGCTTTCATTAACGGCTTGGGAGCATTGAAGGCAGTGAGAAGGCTTGATTTGTGCCAACAGCAGATACCCACAGTGGTGCAGATCTCAGCGTAGCAGGCATGGTACACAAACCCAGCAGGCACTCATGCTAAAAGGAACCCTGGCTTCCTGAAACACTTAAACAGTATAGCTGCATCACAGCGAATTGCACCATGTATCCAGTGACTGGGGTAAAAGGGACTATATCACCTCTTATGCCCCAAAAGTGATACTCCCTTAGGGTTCATATATTTGAGAATATATAACTTTGGAAAGTATGTTAGATATTGTCAGAAAAACAAGATATTGAAGAAATATCTACTATGTAAGCATAAGTATTTTGATGCCACCTTTATGTACACTTTCCAGAGGCCTGGCATAGTGATACCGGTGATATAGGTTATGAGATGTATTACTGATAGTTTTAATGGTGGTAAAAACCAAAAACACATTGACTGTTAACACCATTACTCTAGGGTGTCACTAAATGGATGCAAATCTAATACTGATGGGAGTTTTACTTGTAGAAAAATGTTCTGAGGGCAGAACGAAAAATTAATTGGTTCAGAGACATAACCAATCAGATTTTAGAGAATGTGGGTCCAAGCAACGAGAGGAGGCAGAACCAACCAATTAGACGTCTTGGTTCTGCCTCCTCTAGTTGCTTGGACCCACCTCCTCTACAATCTGATTTGTTATAATTTTTCGTTCTGCCTTCAGAACACTTTTGAGTAAGTAAAACTCCCACGAGCAAATGTAATTGTCATGGCAATCAGTGCATGGCATGTCATATTACTGTCCATACCCAACACCAGCATGTTAGAGAAGTTGGGCAAATTGTGTGTTTGACTTCTTTGTAATATGGCAACTGGTCATAGTCGGAGTGAGCATATCTCTCCCTGGTCACAAAAATAACCACAGAAGCTTTTTTTTAATATTGAGAGATCTTTAATAGTGACCACTTTTCTCC